AAAATCTACTTTGAGCCGAGTTTTTAACAAAAAAATTTAATTTATATAATTCGATATTTAAGATGAAACAAATATTATGAATTAAATTTTTCATTGAGATATAATTACTTCATATTCATTATTACAAACATTTAAAGTGTTACAAAAAGTTGTCTACACGACTTTTGCGCCTATCTGGGTGCGACAATTTTTGCCAAGATGGCCTTTATATGCACTCGGAAGATTAAATGGCGTCTAGATGGATTAGGCGACGCCTAGTGGGTTTAGCGGTTGCGAAGGTAGTCATGTTCAAAATGGCTGAACTATCTAGTCGTCCATAATTTCTTTTTCAAAAAATTTGAATTTCATAATAAATATAATTTAATTTTTGTGTTTGAAATATACATTAATTAAATATTAATCTTCATATAAAAATTAACACATTATGTTTTGTATGCACTAAATTTTTATAATATTTTTACTTAAATATTAATTAATATAATTTGTCTAATATCTTATAAGCATACTAGTATGAATAATAATCACGGATCTTACAATTCATGCCATATTTTAGTCTTCCATGACGTTGGCAATAGTGTAACATGTCCAAATTTTGTAGGTGGCAAAAATTCAAGATTGGTCCTATAATTTGGCCATTGTCCAAAAAACCACCCCTATATTGACCACTTTCAATTTAGATCCTATAATTTATCGATTTCATCAATTTTAGTCCTTTTTTATCCGTACCCTGGATTAAAAAGTGACGTGGCATGAAAAAAGGACCAAAATTGATAAAATCGACAAATTATAGGACCAAAATTGACGTGGCACGTAGATCATAATCACGCCATGTAACCTTAAAAAAATGACACGTCATGCCACGTCACTTTTTAATCCAAGGTCCGGATAAAAAGGACTAAAATTTATGAAATTGACAAATTATAGGACCTAAATTGAAAGTGGTCAATATAGTGGTGGTTTTTTGGACAGTGGCCAAGTTATAGGACCAATTTTGAAATTTTGCCTTTTGTAGGTTGACAAATTATTATGTAGCTAAGCACTTTAATTTAATTAGATAATTCGTAATGCTTATGATCAACAACATATATTATGAAATATTATGTTTAATTTTATTTTAAATTTTATCTATGACCTTATTACAACCCAAAAA